TTGGCATGGACTTCATACTGCAGAGAAGGGGCTCCAACAGCAGCGGTGAGACTGAACTAGAGCCAGAACAAGTATGCAAACCCTGGGAAGGAAGCATGGCAAAGCCAGTGGAAAGAGACCTACGACATGCTAGCCAGCATGACAGTGCATTGTACCCTACTTTCTTATTCTTGTAGAAGCTAGAACAGCGATAATCGGCGTCTGTCTGGAAATTTAGAAGAGGCACAAGTTAAGCTGAAGAAAAAGAGCACATTTGTTTATTTAGAAGTCTAAGCAATCATAATAAACGTATGCTCAAATAATCAGCTCCTGTGTAATTACTCATTTGCAAGCACAGTTATTAGGTAGGTAAATTCTCTCTTTTTTGAAAATGCAGGTCAAATATTTATCTCTGAGATATATTAAATGCAACACAAAATTGCACTAAGGGCGTATATTAGACTGTAACGTTTACAAAATTGAAGTGCTTAGACCTTTCAGACCTTTCCTTAAAGCCTTGACCTTGGAAACAAATAAGGACAGTGTTATTTTAATGTGCATTCAAATTTTAACAACACAGTCACACAGCTCTAGTGGAATCCACGTTGAGTTTCCACTGTAGATTGCTCATCATTTCATTATGGTTCATTATGCTGATAACTGTCAGAAAGCATTAGAAGCAGGAGCCTTGAGTAATAGCACTGAAATGGTAATTTAAAAACAATATACTTTCTGGAGGAAATACAGCAGTGCACTAAATTCAATTAGAAGAGGAGAATGTAAAGACAAGTAAGTGACGTTTACTGTTTGAAGTCAGGCTCTTCGATTTCTTGATAACCTAAACTGGAGAAAGCCCTTTTAAAGCAGGCACTTTTCTCTTGCATCTCACTAAATTTGCTCTCATTATCTCTAAGCTTCTCCGGTAGAAACCGTCTTAAATGCAACCGTTTTAGAAACATTTCAGGCCACGCCAAAATATCAATCAATCAGTCACTGTTTGGGTGGCACAACGGACTAAATTATTCAGGGTCATTTACTGAGACAGATTTCAAGCTGGACAGCCTATGCTGGTAATCTCTCTTTTGTAAAGGGCTCCCAATTAAAAATCATTAATAATCTGAATCGAACAGACAATATAAACAACACAAAACCGTCCCGTTCTCACTCATAATGTGAGCATTGTTTGTTAAGGAACAGTTAGAGAACCCGACTCATTAACAGCGGGGACGCAGGACCAACACCCATTCACTCGGATGGGAACTGCACCTGCCTGCGCCAGGCTGCAAATCACAGAGTATCTCCTTAAGGAGAAGGAAATTCAGGGAGGAAGACCATGATTGTGACCGATCGTTTTCCAGCCTCCTGGATTCATGTGTCGGTAAAGCAATTAATTCTCCATTAGACTGCTAACCTTACGAAAGGCCCATCCTCTCAGCAATAACTGAAATATAACGAAGGTCTGAAGAGTTGCTTTGATGTAACTTTTGTGACGCTTCCAAAAGAGAAAGGTGTTTTCCACAGCTTGTGCTCAGGTGTATTACAGGTCAATCACACCGTCCCCATGCTCAGGCACACAGCCGATGAGCCCACTCTGTTCCGGAGGTGAAACCCTAAATTCCTGAGCGAGGTCAAAGTGGCAGATCCAGGGTGGCTCTCAGCGGTGACAGACACGTTGATGACTGTCCCCACGAGGCAAGCTCGAGGGGAAAGGGCCACCAGTGAACGTGTATGCCAGGGTGCCCACGCCTGCCCTCCTGACACAGCCCACTCCACCATCTCCTACACTCACGTTGCTCCTTGTTCTGCTCTTCCTTGTACGAGCTGTAAGCCAGCCTTAACCGCTGACTCTAGCAGAGCTAAAATAGAGCCGAGTACTAAAACCAGAGTTGAGCTAATTGTTTAGACTGGGTGCCTGGCTTACCTGAAGGTTAGGCATGGTTTTCACAACTCAACAACAGACAGAGATGTCAGAGTGGCCTTACGGAACGAGAAAACTGGAGCACCTCTGCTGACCAGCGCCGCAGGAAGTAGGTGTTGCTTTTATCACTTACCATGGCGATTGCGAGAAAGGAAGAGGAAGGGGAATTCTCCAATTTCCTTTCATCCACTAGCACAATCAGGCTAATGGCTAGTCATAACGGCCTTCCTCCCCCAAACTAGAAGGCGAGATAAGTGACGAAGCCAGCCAGTTTATTACTAAAGGAAATCAATAGCCAAGGGTCAAAGCTTTACAAAAACACATCCTAAGAAGGCTGAAGTTCTTAATCTTAAAAAGTGCTTAGAAATCGGAAAGAAAGGATCAATCCACAGTCCATTCCAGGTGTTCTCTCCAAATTAACCAATGTTACTTTTATTCACCTGGCCTAATAGTTCTCCAAGTGAACAGAAACCTGATTTTACAAGCCACTGGAGCAAAGTCTATCTTTTTGCTAGAAGAATGGATCTCAGATACTGTGTTTTATTTCTTCATTAGTGTGCCGTCACACTGAGTGATTACTAAACGCAGGGCTGAATGAGAATACCAGGGTTAAAGAGAGCATAATGAACAAAGAGGGTGCCTGATTATTATGGCTGTCAGCACAAGGGAATTGGGTTTGTCACCTGGTTTAACCAACTGGCAAGAACTGATTAGAGTCTGAATCCGTCTGAGAGAACCTTTGATGTTTACGCTCCCTTCTGTCTCCACATCTTGTCAGGAAAGGCAGACAAACAGGGAGCTTCTTCCGGAAGGGCCTCCTTGAAATGCTTTCTGCCACTTGCCTCAAGCACGTGGGTGGCTCGGTGTGGGGAGCATGGCAAACGAACCGCCCCCTTGCACCCCGCTCCTTGCGCAACGCAGAGGCGCACCACGCACGCCGGGCTGTGTTTCGTGCCGGTGCAGGTACCATCGCAGCAAGGCTCAAACACTGCTACGGCAGACCTCCAAGAGGGGATAATAGCGAGCACAGCAGCAGGTGGGAGAGCAAAGCTGTCCCACAAGCCAGCTCCGAAATAACCTCCGTGTCCTTCACCTTGGATCGCAGAAGAAGCCCTTGAGCTACAGGAAAATTCAAAGCTATGAAATGGGACCTCCAGAGACAGGTCTGTTTTCCAAGACCAGGTGTCCGTGGGATTGTGGTGTTGACTTGCCCCTGCACGCCGACTCCTCCTAGACTGCTGCAGAGATGAAGACTGAGGCCAGAACCGTGCCCCTGGCCTTCTCTTCTTCCCTCTTAGTGTTTTCAGAGTAAACGACTGAGATCAGGGACTTAACTTTAACTGACCTCCAAAGACAAGAGCGGGGAAGGGTGCCAGAAGTAGGCTCAAGACTTGACAAAAAAGGGCTAGGCTTGCAGGGGTACATTTTGCAATACAAGCAAACATACGTATCATTTGCTCACAATTCCCCCATCTGGAAGTGTTTTGCTCTGTCCTCATACTTCACTCACTGCACACGCCTATTTAAATTCAACCAGTTGATTACTAATTTGATTTCAATTAGGTCAGGATATCACTCACTAGGACAAGGGCCTTCTGAGGCACTTTTCCTGGTATAATGTTATTTAGGGTGTACCTTCCCAACAATAGCATTATTGTTGCGCGAAGACATTTTTCCTATCAAAATGGTCAAGCTTTGTATCTCCTGGTGTAAATTGTATGATAAAAAGCATCTTCCTACCCACTCCAGCAAGGTTTCACAATACAGCTAGATCTCCATCCCCAGTCAGCATTTGGCAAGGGATATAGGGACCTCTCTGCTTTCCCACTAAGCAAAAGCAGCTGCTCCTGGCTATGCCCAGACCTGCTTAACCAACACCCAGCAAAACTCACAGCTGAAAAGGAGGGGATCACTGAAGAAGAGCTGGAATCAAGGGGGTGTGGGGAAGGGATGAGAGATGGCGTTAGTTATGGACATATTTTGTTTCTGCCTTGTAAGGGAGAAATTAAGATTGAAAGAAATGTGAGTCATCTCTCCAAAATGAATTTGGAATATATTAAAATGTTACAAAAGAAACATCTCAGCCCTCCCTCACTCACAGACACACACACTCTCTACATAAATATACAGCTGAACTCCAAAAATCTGGAAGCATTTTCAATAGCTCTGAGGGAAAGCCACACATGGATATCCATCCCCTGGTAAAATCCAGCCCTTTCACAAAGTGTTTTAAACTGCTCTGCTCCTATGGAAGTGAAAACTGAAGAACTAGATGATCACAGTTTAACACCAGGGCATGCCTGGAATCCCATGTCCTGGGCTGTGTGAGCCGTTAACCAACACACACACAGGACAAGGAGTTGTTCCAGCAACCCCGTGGGTGTGCTCAATACACTACACTTCTTATTTTCCCTGCTGAAGGCATTTTGGTAAAACTAAAGCAAATTCCATTTGCTGCACATGATATATTTATCTACAAAGGATAAAATAAACCATACTTCGAGTGTTTGTTTCATTAAGGTTTAATATTTATTATTATCAACCGTTCAGAGAAACACTTTTATGTTCCTGAGGGTCATCAGCTATATTGTGAGCAAATTAGATACTTAATGAGACTGTAAATATTACCTATTTACCCTGGCTCATAGAGTCATGAGAAAAGCTTTCACAATTTCTACAAGTATCAATATTTAGAGAGATGAAAGGTGAGGTGATCTGCTGGAGACAGGTCCTCAGCTGGAACTTAGACCTGTATTTTACGTCCAGCTCTGTTACTGAGGTGTGCGAGTCACTCGTCTCTTGCGGCTTTGTCTCCTCCCAGTCTCCTGATTTATTTAGACCGTAAGCTCTCGAGGGTCAGTGCAACCATGTCACAGTCAGGAATTCAGGGCTCAGAACTAACGCTTTCTCTTTCGGAAGCGTGACCCAAAATGCAAACTGCATCTGTGAAGGGCTGTAAGAGCTACTGAATGCTGCTCTCAGAAGCAGGACACTTCTTGGAGACACAGATCTCCGGGCCATATTTCCCACATACAGAGTGAAAGAAAGACAGGAGAAGACATGGATGATGCAAGGGGAAGAGACTGTTCAAAGACCAACTTACGAGTGCAGGGCATGGAGGCAGCATCATTTTCAGCTCGGAAAAAGCCCCGATCGCAGGTGCAGGAGGTAGAGCCTTCCCAGATGGAGTAGCTGTGAGGCGGACATTTGGCACAAGCAACATCTGTCGAGAGAGCCTTGTAGTATCCGATTTTGCAAGCTAGATGGAGGAACAGGAAGGGAGAGTGTTACTTGCCCAGGCTGTGATCATAAATTGCTGGCTTACTTATTCAAAATCAAGGCAGGAGACATTTCAAAGAGATCTAATGGTGTCTTCTTAGCCCCAGGTGAAGAATTAACAATCACGACACTCTTAATGAGTAATCCCATGTCAGGGGATACCGATTTCTAATTCCAACAAGAGCCAGTTTAAAAGCTGGCTTGGAGATGGCAGAACAAAAATTACACTCTTCTTCTGACACTGCCAGAAAATCAGCTGCCTCTTTGTGCTTACTGTGGAGTTGCATGTTGCTGAACCCATGTCCACCTGCATTCACACACACCCCCAGAGCACAACAAAAGGGGTGCAGTTGGTCTATTCTATGACCACTTAAGGAATGGCAGCTGACAGTCAGACACTGCCAATTTTGAAGAGGGAGTGGGACAGGAACCCACTGGGATTGGCAGCGAGGCCCCCATCCTAACATATCCGGAAATGGCACGTCTCCCTCCTGGCAAGGCAGAATTCATATGGCTCCTTCTCCCCAAGGGAGGAAATCAGCCATGCCCTCCCCTCCTCGAAGCCAGGCACGGCAGTAACTGCACCACTGCCACCAGGTCCCACGCACAGAGGGTGACATCATCTTCGTAAAAGCAATGCTACATGGACGGCTACGTTTGCATCACTTGGAAAAGACTCGTTAGCATCATTAGTTACACCATTTCATAGTGGCTAACAGGTATGTCATCCTAGAAATTTCTCCCTTGGCTAGAGATAAAAGCCCACCACCACCACTGGCTTTCAGCGCTATGGAGAACAGAGAAAATACCCAGCAAGGCAAATGTGTAAAAAGGAAAGGTTGTTTGCAGTATTTACGGCGTGGCTCACCCTCACAGCTCGTCATCTATCACCTATGCCACCTTTGGGATTCCCTGCTATGCGCAGGCTCCAGAACACGGGGCGCAGCCCCCCGCACAGCCGGGGCTCGCTCCTTCTGGTTTAGCCTTCCCGCAGCCCACCCCCTTTCCCTTACGAAGCCCTCCGATGGGAAATGGGGAGGGATTTTAGTAATACATTCATTCTTATTAACGAAAGCCATTTATGGCATTTCCCGAAGAGGCCTAACTTGACGACGTGCCGTGCACCATCTGTAAGAGCGCTGGGAGAGCAGTCGGCTTTCGCTCGCCGTGGCTGCCGCCGGACCAGCGGATCTTAGAAAAACACATCGCTCGAGTGACTGAGATTTATGCTTCCAGAGTCTACACGCATCACATTATTAGATAGGGTCCAACTTGCAAGGTGCTTTTTGGCCACGTTTCAAACGGCCTCGGGGTTTCGATTAAAATCAGAAACCGCAGCGCTGGCAGGAAGAATGACCAGGGTCAAACCCAGCCTCCCCACATCAGGGACAATGAGTCCCTCAACACAATGCAAACCCACCGGGTACAGCCTATCAGCCAGGCAGGCCCAGGACACAAAGGTAACGCCTGCAAAACGGCTTATCCCGCTTGTGATGTGAATTGCCCAGGAAAACAAACAGAAACAAACATGGAAAATTACCTTTCCGTTTTTGACATGATCTGCAGTATCTGGTGAGTTACACTATCGCTACGTCTCCTCTTGTGCCTGGATTAACAACGGCAGCAGTCAAGTGGCAGATTCTGATCTGAAATACCGTTCCCAGCTTTCACTGTCACAGCCCGGATCAGAAATATGCCTAAGCCTGTATATGACCAGGAGAGACACTGCCAGGAGGAATCTCGCTGCCATATATAAAGATAAGGCATGGAAAAACTCATACAAGAGGAGACCAGGCTGACTGCTCTTATTCTATTATTCAAGGTTGTTAAAATAAAACATGTAAACTCTAACATTACTGTTAATGTGAACATCACGGATCACAGGAATTATTGAAGGAAGAGATGCCTTTTGCATCTTCACAGAATTAAAATCTTGGAAGATAAAAAAATCTAGCACAAGGCTGAAGATCTGCTTGGGCTATAACATGCTGGAAAGGGAGGAAAATGTCACAGGTAAAGGTATTTGTGACCGTTCCTCCCCCTCACTGTCTTTTCAGACAGTGGGAATTTAAAAGGTAATAGATGGATACAGTGTGTACTGCAAGGTCAACAGTCTGTAATTCAAGGATTTCTCTCCCCCACACTCCTTTCATGCACTGTATTTTGTTTTCTACTAAATTAAGCCAAGATCATTAATATTTCAAAACCTGAAGAAAGCTCTCCCAAGGCAGTGGCTGTTCCTAAAGCACACACAGCCATTTTGCTTCAAAAATAACCTACTCTGAACAGTTATTTTTCCTCATTTTAGCGTTCTCACAGGTTCACCACTGTCGTGGTTTAACCCCTGCCAGCAACTAAGCACCACACAACTGCTCGCTCACACCCCCTGCAAGATCGGGGAGAGAATGGAAGAGTCAAAGTGAGAAAACTCATGGGGTGAGATAAGGACAGTTTAATAGGTAACGCAAAAGCCGCGCACATAATCAAAGCAAAACAAGGAATTCATTCACCATTTCACAGCCATCCCCAGGAATGCAGGGCTCCATCACACCTAACGGTTACTTGGGAAGGCAAAAGCCATCACCCCAAACATCCCCCTTCCCTCCTCTTCCCCAGCTCTATATGCTGAGCATGATGCCATATGGTCTGGAATATCCCTCTGGTCAGTTGGGGTCAGCTGTCCTGGCTGTGTCCCCTCCCAACCCCTTGTGCCCCCCCAGACTCCTCACCGGTGGGGTGAGGAGCAGAACAGGCCTTGACTCTGTGCGAGCATTGCTCAGCAACAGCTAAAACATCCCGTTGTTAACAACACTGCTTCCAGCACAAATCCAAAGCACAGCCCCATACCAGCTGCTGTGAGGAAAATGAACTCTAGCCCAGCCAGAACCAGAGCAACCACATTTCAGCACGTGGCATAAAAGGAAATTAGAGAATGTGTTGCATTAAACCAGTAGTTCTTCCCTCCTAAGAGCTCCATGGTACCATCACTCACAAACCCGAACCTAATCCTGTGAAAGCTGTTCTTAGCATGAAGCACTGCTGACACACCTACTACAGCCCGTGCCTGTTGAGGCTACGGATGGGCTTCTTTTGCAGGTTAATCATTTAGTAAGCAATCAAGGAGCCCGTACAGAACCTGTTCCCTGAAAGTCTTTATTGCTCGCTCATGACAAATCTCCGGCGGCTGTTGTAGGAAGGATTTGCTGGGTGAGACCCGGCCTGAATGGCGTTCTTACACAGCTTTCGAAAGATACCATTGTGAAAAGATTAGTTCACATGTGCAATGCAAACTTTGACTTCAATTCCATAGCTCTGCCTTAATTGGTTCTTTCTGCTAGAGGGTTTTTTTTTTTGTCTTTTGAGAAAAGAGAAAAATCTCTTCTCACATTCCAGTCACCCACGAGCACAACAGGGTTGCAATCACCTGCACGAAACCCAAGGCAAATTCTCAAACAAAAATATTTTCATCACAAAAAAAGCTCACAGTTTTTCCTCAGAACAAATCACAATGATTTTAAATGGCCATGAGCTTGAAAGAATTATCTTTTGAGTCCTAAAGTTAAAATGTTTTGATTTCTATTTCTCTGAAAGTGAGACAGGATTCATCAAACATTGCTGGTCATCATTGTACATGGGTTTTGTTGTGTTTTGGGGTTTTTTGGGGGGGGAGGGGAGTAGTTGTTTTGTTTTGGTTGTTTGGTTTTTGTTTTGGGTTTTTTGGGGTGGGTTTTTTTTGCGTTTTGTTTTGTTTTAATTTACATGATACATGTTAAAACTGCGAAACTGCTCTGAAGAATGATGGAACTTCAGTCAAATCTGGATGCAAACTTTGTCAAGCTGTTTTTTTAAACTCCATTTTCTCATTAAAACCTGATCTTCAGACTCATGGCTTTTTTTTTTTTAAAAAAAAAAAGAAAAGAATAAGAAAAGAATACATGAGTGGGCTGGAAAGTCTGCTTGCTTGGTGTCTCCAAATGCTGAATTTTCTATTACAAAATTTCAGCCAGCAGTTTCAGAATTTAAAAACGCTGGTTTTTAAATCCACCCATAGTGGATGGGGTTCTAGTAACATTCTTTTTCATCACAGCTACCACAAAATGTACAGATTAATCCATTTTTAACTATTTTTAAATAAGCTATGTTTTTTTCTGATTGGAGGGGGGGAATCTTTTAAAAATATTAGTCTTGCAAATTCAAAGTTGTTAGAAAAAATTTTCCCATGGTGCTCGCTCTTAAATTGTTCCTTTGTCCTTGTTGAAATGGCAATGAATCTTTCCATTACGGTTTGGAAAAGGCTTGACACAGTTCTTTAAAAACAGAAGAGTGTAATGACTTGCAAAGGCTTGGATAAAGAAACCATTCCTTGTTGACAAGTTCCTAAGTCATTAAAAATGAAGTGCCTATCTTTAAAAAATCTCAGCGAGCTCCAGGTGGAAGCTTTGGCTGTGTCATGGAGGCAGCGCCTGCTCTTGGTGCACATGAAGGCTAAGCAGGACTCTGGAGCAGGGAGGGAAGAGCCAGGACCGGGAGCACCCAAGGGAGCCAGCCCTGAGCCGAGAGCCGCTGGGCAGGAGGTCCCGCAGAGGCACTGCAGGACAATCTGGCACAGACGTGCGAAAAGCAGCGAGGACAACCAGGGGAACAGTGTCCTTTGCACGGGGAGAACAGGAGCTCCATGCTGGGCTGCAGAGCCACCACCCTAAGGCTGCCATCTCCAAGAGTTCTGCAAGGGAAGGGCCCTCGACCAGGACAGGATCAGCAACCGGCCCCAAACCACGCTCCCACTGCACCCCCCCTTCTCAGAAGGGACCAGCGCACCACCACCAACGTTTACTATCACAGCCAAGTCATTCATATAGCTAAAATCCAGGGGGGTAGCCGAAATTTCAGAAGCTACGCATGTAATAAGTTTCCATTTTTTGAAGCAGAAAAATGTATCAGCTACATAGTCACCAAAGTTTCGAAATTCTTTCAGATGTT